AAGTTCAAGCGATTCTCCTGCCTCAGCCTCTCCAGTAGCTGGGATTACAGGTGCGCACCACCACACCTGGCCAATTTTTTTATTTTTAGTAGAGGCGGCATTTTGCCATGTTGGCCAGGCTGGTCTTGAATTCCTGACCTCAGGTGATCCACCCGCCTCGGCCTCCCAAAGTGCTGGGATTAAAGGAGTGAGCCACCGCGCCCGGCCTCAAGTTATTCTGTTTAACATGGAGGACAAGAAAGTACAAACACTGACAATCTATTCCCCGCTCACACACACAGGTTTGGCGGCATAAGGAGTTGCCTGGAAAATGCCACGATGGAACCAGCTCACTTGGCTTTTCCAGCAGCTTCCTGCAGGGGTTCCCATGACTCTACCCACAGGGAACCACGCCCCACAACCTGCTATTGTGGACTCAGGTGTCCTGGCTCAAAATGTGACCGAGATGAAGGGCCCGAGCAGTGCACTGGCAAATGAACTTGGTCGGGAGGGCATGCGGGGAGATGAACCAATAACCAATAGAGCCGGAGTTCTTTTGTCCCCTCGGAGGCCTGAAGCTCCTCCTCCTGGCTCCAGGGCAACAGTTGGGCAAGGTGGGTTTGAAGCTGGGGCCTCTGATAAGTGCGCCAGCGCCCACTGTGGCTGAGGTCGCACCAGCCAGGCGTGGTGTCGGGAGGCAGTGCTAAACAGACAGCCACCATGACATCCTCTCCACCCTCTGAAAGAGGCAGAGAAATCCACTTCCGAACTCGACCTTCATAGATGCCGAAGAACAGCAGAGGCGTTCCTTCCCTCAGGAGCGTGCTCCTGCTGGCCAAGGGCTGCCAAGGTTGTGAGCTGCTTTCCTAGACGGGAACACTGTCATCCATGAGGGCAGGGGAGGACCCGGGGGACAGGGTGCAGGACTGAGGGAGGATGGACTAGCCCAGAGGCACCCTGGAGGTGTCGTCACTACCAAGTTCACGTGAGATGCGCCACAGCTCCCTGTCGTGGGCTGGGCTCCGGGAGGGGAGCAGTGCAGGAATGTGCTTATAATTTAACTATCAGCAAACCATCAAACCTGAACATCGGTCCCTTTCCTGCCTGGCCTGAGAAACATCCAGGGCCTGGGGGTCCGCTGGGCCCGAGTCGGGGCAGAAGCATGTCGGGGGTGGTGTGTGGTGTGACCGGGTGTGGGTGCTCCCGTGGTTACCTCGATCAGCCAGGGCTTCAGCTTGTCGTCAATGATGATGTCATAGCCATAGCATTCAAAGCAGTGCTTGTCATTGTTCATCACCGGCTGGAGAGAGAGTGACCAGTGGGTGACATGGCCAGCATCGAAGGGCGCAGCCGAGACCAACGCCTCAGAAACAAGCAGGATCATCCCATGGTCCCGACCTCCCACAGCAAGGGTTCCCACCCTCCACCAAAAACGCTTCCTTCCCTCCTCTCCCTCTTCCTCCCGCAGAGCTCAGAGACTGGACACTTTCCTCAGCCTGATAGAGGGAACTGACGGAACCATAACGGGCATCTCTGCATCTCACTCATCAGAGGCTTGACTAGCACCCAACCCCTCTGCCAGCGTGACACTGTCATCAGAGTGGACGGGTGTCCAGCTCCAAGCCCAGAACCTGCAGTGAAGGTCTGTGCAGGCTTATCACAGACAAACACAAACTGTCCCCCAGGCTGCCTGTCACCCCTTCCCAGGCCCTTAGGGATCCGGGTGCCAGACTATTAACCTCTGTTCCCAGTGACAAAAGTAAATCCATTTATATACAAATTTTTGAATTTCCTTTGTAATTTTTGATTCCGTTTCACCTAGATACACATTAGATTAACTGTTCTCCAGATACATAAATAACATCACCTGAGGCTGGGTGCGGTGGCTCATGCCCGTAATCCCCGCACTTTGGGAGGCCAGGGTGAGAGGATCACTTGATCCCAGGAGTTTGAGACCAGCCTGGGTAACACAGTGAGACCCCCGCCTCTACAAGAAATAAAACATTTAGCCGGGTGTGGTGGTATGTGCCTGCAGTCCCAGCTACTCGGGATGGCTGGAGGCTGGGAGGAAGAAGAGTGCCATGAGGAGTGGTGAATTGCAGTGAGCCATGAACACGCCACTACACTCCAGTCTGGGTGACAGAGCAAGAATCTGTCACTTCAAACAAACAAACAAAGAAACCTGGCTGGGTGCAGTGGCTGATATCTGTAATCCCAGCACTTTGGGAGGCTGAGGCGGTGGATCACCTGAGGTCGGGAGTTCAAGACCAGCCTGGCCAACATGGTGAAACCCCGTCTCTACTAAAAATACAAAAAATTAGCGGCGTGTGGTGGTTCGTGCCTGTAATCCCAGCTACTCGGGAGGCTGAGACAGGAGAATCGCTTGTACCTGGGAGGCGGAGCTTGCAGTGAGCTGAGATCGCACCACTGCACTCCAGCCTGGGTGACAGAGCGAGACTCTGTCTCACAAAAAAAAAAAAAGAAGCAGGTCTTGGCCAGGTGCAGAGGCTCACATCTGTAATCCCAGCACCTTGGGAAGCCGAGGTGGGGAGATCATGAGGTCAGGAGATCGAGAGCAGCCTGGCCAACATGGTGAAACTCTGTCTATATTAAAAATACAAAAATTAGTTGGGCGTTGTGGCACATGCCTGTAATCCCAGGAACTTGGGAGGCTGAGGCAGGAGAATTGCTTGAACCAGGGAATTGGAGGTTGCAGTGGGCCAAGATTGTGCCACTGCATTTCAGCCTGGGTGACAGAATGAGACTCTGCCTCAAAAACAAAAACAAAACAAAACAAAAAATAGGGTCTTGCTTTGTTACCACAAGTCTCAAACTTGTGGGCTTACGTGATCCTCCACCTCGGCCTCTCAAAGTCCTGGGATTACAGGCGTGAGCCACACTGCCCGGCCCGGGAAATACTAATAGTAGCCAGCTTGCTGGTGCTCAAATGTTCGTTTCTCTCCTCTTCCTTGAAAACAGATGTGCACCTGCTTTAACACTGTAAAGCAAAACACGAATGCCAACTCCAAACCAGCAAATAAACAAAAAATGAGAAGATAAAAAAAAGAAGAGGCATGCTATTTCCAGTACAAAATATCTATGAAATACTAAAGTCAGGACATCTACAGACAAAAGGCTGCTGGAAGTCCATCTCCAATATATCACTTTATGTCAAAATAGTTATTATTGACTTAGTGGGTATAAGAGGAGTGAAGGGGCCGGGGCCTGTGGCTACACCTGAGAGGCTAGCCCAGCTCACCCCAGGGCGGCACTGGGCTGGAAGCTGGCCCCTTTCCCTCCCCGAAAAACCGCAGCCTCTGGCAGACGTGCAGGCGGCAAGAACATCAAAACATCAAAACAGGCTTTTTTTTTTTTTTTTTTTTTGAGACAGAGTTTTGCTCTTGTTGCCCAGACTGGAGCGCAATCTTGAAGACGGAGTTTCCCTCTTGGCGCCCAGGCTGGAGTGCAATGGCGCGATCTTGCCTCACTGCAACCTCCGCCTCCTGGATTCAAGCCAATTCTCCTGCCTCAGCTTCCTGAGTAGCTGGGATTACAGGTGCGCACCACCATGCCCAGATAATTTTTTGTGTTTTTAGTAGAGATATGGTTTCACCATGGCCAGGCTGGTCTTGAACTTCTGACCTCAGGTGATCCGCCCACCTCAGCCTCTCAGAGTGCTGGGATTGCAGGCATGAGCCAATGTGCCCGGCCTGTTCTTTGTTTTTTTTGAGATGGAGTCTTGCTGTGTCTCCCAGGCTGGAGTGCAGTGGCCGGATCTCAGCTCACTGCAAGCTCCGCCTCCCGGGTTCACGCCATTCTCCCGCCTCAGCCTCCCAAGTAGCTGGGACTACAGGCGCCCACCACCACGCCCAGCTAGTTTTTTGTATGTTTAGTAGAGATGGGGTTTCACCATGTTAGCCAGGATAGTCTCGATCTCCTGACCTCGTGATCCACCCGCCTCGGCCTCCCAAAGTGCTGGGATTACAGGCTTGAGCCACCGCGCCCCGCCTGTTCTTTGTTTTTTGAGACAGAGTCTCACTCTATCACCCAGACTGGAGTGCAGTGGTGTGATCTCCACTCACTGAAACCTCCACCTCCTGGGTTCAAGCGATTCTCCTGCCTCAGCCTCCCAAGTAGCTGGGATTAAACGTGCATGCCACCACGCCTGGCTAATTTTTGTACTTTTAGTAGAGACAGGGTTTCACCATGTATGTGGGCCAGACTAGTCTCAAACTTCTGACCTCAGGTGGTCTGCCTGCCTCAGCCTCCCAAAGTGCCGGGATTACAGGCATGAGCCACTGTGCACAGCTGAAAACAAGTATTTTTAACAAGAACAGCAAGCCCCCCGACTCCCAAACATGCCCTGGGAGCTGGCTCCCCCGCCCACAGCAAACTCACCGCCACAGCCTTCAAGGACTGCACGATGATCCAATGGATCTCGTCGAACAGCTTGCTGGTCACCTCCTTGCCGCGGGTGCTCTCCAGGTACAGCCGCAGGTTGCTCACTGTCCACTTGCCCCCATGGATGTGGTTGTAGTCCTCCTGGAGACAGGAAAGCAGGCAGGCATCCCTCAGGTTATGCACCCCAGAGGAACCCCGTGGAACCGTTGCATCCCCCAAGCATTTCTGGAGTGCCCCCTGGGTGTGGGCATGCAGCAACAAGGCAAACGTCTGGACCCTTACCCCAGGGAGATCTGGGCCAGCTATTTTCCATTTTGTTTTAAGATAGGGTCTCACTCCGTCCCCCAAGCTGGAGTGCAGTGGCATGACTTTGGTGTACTGCAGCCTTGACCTTCTGAGCTTAAGCGAGCCTCTCACCTCAGCCTCCCAAGCAGGTGGGACTACAGGCACGTGCCACCATGCCTGGCTGATTTTTAAATTTTTTTAGAGAAGAGGTCTCACTATGTTGCCCGGACTGGTCGTGAACTCCTGGCCTCAAGCGATCCTCCTGCCTTGGCCTCCCAAAGTGTTGGGATTACAGGCATAAGCCACTGTGCCCGGCTGCCTGGGCCTCCTATTATGTGGGGTTTTTTTTCTTTTGAGATAGAGTCTCACTCTGTCGCCCAGGCTGGAGTGCAACGGCATGATCTCGGCTCATTGCACTGTGAGTCACCGTCCTGGCCTTACGTGGGTATTTTTAAATGCTCATCTCCCTAAGACTCTCGGGCTTAATCATTTATGCCTCACAGCACAGGCTGTGGAGTGCTGCCGGGATACCCTTCAAGACCAAGGCACTCGTTCTTCCAGCTGAGACCCACCCTCACTGGGAGTGCCCTTGGCTTGAGGGAGCTGCCTAATCCAGGGTGAAAGCCTTCCCCAAGGGCAACAGCATACCATGTCTGGCTGACGCCATGTGTCAGGCCCTGCTCCCTCCAGGACAGCCCTGCAGGGCCACCCCCACTCCACAGCACCCCGGGGTGGGCGGAGGCCTCCATTGCAGCAACATCAGCTTGCTGACTTCTACCTCAGTTTTTCCTGGGGAAGCCAGCCTAAGACGCGCCTGGGCTGCACATTGCAGTGTAAAACCACCACACCCATAACTCTCCAACAACCTTGAGAAGTTGCCATTATCATTCCATTTCACAGAGGAGGCCGGGCTCAGAGAAGCAGTTACTTGGCCAAGCTTTCCTCCTGGGCTGGGATGGGGCTGGGCCCCCAGCCCAAATGTTCTGAGCCAGTTCTGAGCTCTTCCTGTTTTGCCATCCCTGAAAATTAATTCTCCATACAATGCTTGCCTTTGAAGGCAAAGGGCTAGAAAATACCCAAATGTATTACATTGTTAGGAGACTGTAATTTCATTTTCTAAGTATAAAGTGAGAACCATGAACTAAAACAAAATCAGCCTACTAACTGCTCGAGCAAACATCACTGACTCAAAGCAGATAAAAGGAGAATTAACCACATTTTAAAAGACAGTCCAGGCATGGTGGCTCACACCTGTAATCCCAGCACTTTGAGAAGCCAAGGTGAGAGGATCACCTGAGGTCAGGAGTTCGAGACCAGCCTGGCCAACGTGGTGAAACCTCATCTCTACTAAAAACCCCAGTCAGGTGTGGTGGCACGCACCTATAACCCCAGTTACTCGCGGGGCTGAGGCAGGAGAATCACTTGAACCCGAGGGGCGGAGGGTGCAGTGAGCCGAGATCATGCCACTGCACTCCAGCCTGGGTGACAGAGCAAGACTCTGTCTAAAAAAACTAATAATAATAAAGACATAAATAAAAAATAAAATTTGTCACGGCCAGGCGCGGTGGCTCAAGCCTGTAATCCCGGCACTTTGGGAGGCCGAGACAGGTGGATCACGAGGTCAGGAAATCGAGACCATCCTGGCTAACACGGTGAAACCCCGTCTCTACTAAAAAATACAAAAACTAGCCGGGCGAGGTGGCGGGTGCCTGTAGTCCCAGCTACTCGGGAGGCTGAGGCAGGAGAATGGCGTAAACCCGGGAGGTGGAGCTTGCAGTGAGCTAAGATCCAGCCACTGCACTCCAGCCTGGGCGACAGAGTCAGACTCCGTCTCAAAATAAATAAATAAATAAATAAATAAATAAATAAATAAATAATAAAATTTGTAAAACTGACGCTTGCTTGGTTTGCTCTCAGGAAGACCTGAAGGGGAAGTGAGTTAGACCAGCCACATGTGGAAACCACTTGGCCCCGGTAAACGGTGGCCATCGTCATCCCAACACCAGCAAGGTGAACCCCTGGCTCCTGTTGGCAGCTGTGGGCCTGGAGGGCTGGTGAGCTGCCCACGTCACACAGAGGTAAGTGATGGGCGGAGGACCGAGTCCAGCCTCGTCTGAACAAACTCTTCAGCAGGTTCTTCAGAAATGCATATTTCATACCAATACTCACTCTCTTTCTCCTCAAATTAGAAAAAAGATCAGAGCATTCAAGGCTTCCATTCAAAGAAGATTCAAAACAAAGAAAGAGTCTTTCATAAAGAAACGAGACTTTTGGTTTGTGTTGGGGTGAAATGAGAGCCCCAAACCTGAACCGGACCCACAAAGCCCTGTGTGTCTGCCCTCGCTGGCCTCTCCAGTCCCTCCCCATACACTGCCCTCACGCCAGGGGCTCCCACCACCTTGGCGTCCTTTCAGCCCCTGTAAAGCTCCCTCTGGCAACGGCCTCGGCACACGCTGTACCCACCATTATGGAACCTTCCCTGCCTCCTCTGGATCATCCCGACTCATGCTTCAGATCTCGGCTCCAGCACTACTTTGCAGGGAAGCCTTCTCCAACCACTGGACGAGGGGCTTCTTTTGTTCCATGCTCTTCTAGATGTGCGTTCCTCACTTTCAGAGCAAGCAGCTCGGTTTGTAATTTCATGTTCATCAGGGTGATTAGTTGATGACTATCTCCCCCGGAAGTTCTGGGATCCATGAGAGTAGGTACTAAGGTAGGCTTTGCCTATCACTGCGTCCTGGGCACTTAGAAGGGAACCAACTCACATAGGTGCTCAATGCATACAGAGGCCCCTTGGTGGGGTTATGTCCAGATAAGCCCAAAGCAAGTTGAAAATATCATCAATTGAAAGTGCACTTGGCCAGGCGCCTCTAATCCCAGCACTTTGGAAGGCCGATGCAGGCAGATCACCTGAGGTCAGGAGTTCGAGACCAGCCTGACCAACATGGAGGAAACCCCATCTCTGCTAAAAATACAAAATTAGCCATGCGTGGTGGCGCATGCCTGTAATCCCAGCTACTGAGGAGGCTGAGGCAGGAGAATCACTTGAACCCAGGAGGCGGACGTTGCAGTGAGCCAAGATCACGCCACTGCACTCCAGCCTGGGCAACAGAGTGAGACTCCACCTCAAAAAGAAAAAAGAAAAAAGTGCATTTAATACACCTAACCTACTGAATATCATAGCCTTGCCTATCTAAAACATGCACAGAACACTTACAATAGCCTGACGTTGGGCAAAATCATCTAACACAAAGCCTATTTTATAATGTGTGTGAAATACCTCAGGTAATTTATTGACTACTGTACTCAAAGAAAAACTAATGGTTGCATGGGTACTTGAAGTACGGTTCCTACTGAATGCATGTCGCTTTCACACCACTGGACACTTGAAAAACTGTAAGTCGAGGCAGGGTACCTCAGGGACAGTCTAAACAGAAGTCACCTCATGACATCCTCCCACAGTCCCGCCAGGTAATACTATGACTTCCTTTTATAAATGGAGAAACTGAGGCTCTGAGAGTTACACTGACTTGCCCGAGGCCACAGAACTAGAAAGGCAGGGCTTGAGCCTGCCGCCTTCTTTCTCCAGGTGCCTCCCCGCAGCCCCGGGCATTCAGCTGATGCGCCCCATGCCAGCCCGCCTGTTGCCTAGAGCCTCCCAGTCCCATCAGTGCCGGGCCTTAGACCAGGTTACTCTTCAAGTATCACTCCTATACCCACCCTGTTCTTGCAAAAATAGAAGAAAGAAACCCACAAAGTTGGTCTTCTTTTTTTTTTTTTGGAGACAGAGTCTCGCTCAGTTGTCCAGGCTGGAGTGCAATGGTGCTATCTTGGCTCACTGCAACCTCTGCCTCCCGGTTCAAAGTGATTCCTGCCTCAGCCTCCCGAGTTGCTGGAATTACAGGCGCCAGCCACCATGGTAATTTCTGTATTTTTTTTTTTTTAGTAGAGACAGGGTTTCATTGTGTTGGTCAAGCTGGTCTTGAACTCTTGACCTCAGGTGATCCACCCGCCTTGGCCTCCCAAGGGCTGGGATTACAGGCATGAGCCACCACACCCGGCCTAATCTTTTTTTTTTTTTTTGAGATGGAGTCTCCCTCTGTCACTGAGGCTGGAGAGCGGTGGCGCAATCTCAGCTCACTGCAAGCTTGCAAGCTCAGCCTCCCGGGTTCACGCCAGGGACTACAGGCGCCCGCCACCACGCCCAGCTAATTTTTTGTATTTTTAGTAGAGACGGGGTTTCACCATGTGAGCCAGGATGGTCTCCATCTCCTGACCATGATCCACCGCCTTGGCCTCCCAAAGTGCTGGGATTACAGGCGTGAGCCACCGCGCCTGGCCAGATCGTGGGTTTTAAATTTTGATGAGGTTCAACCTAGTACTTTGTTCTTTTACAGATCATGCTGTTGGTGTCTTATCTAAAACACCATTGCCCAATTCAAGGATACAAAGGTTTTCTTCTAAAAGGTTTATAGTTTTAAATTTTACTTTAGATCTATACTCCATTTTGAGTTAACTTTTGTATATGGTAAAAGGTATGGAAGTTCATTTGTTGTTTTTTTGTTTGTTTGTTTGTTTGTTTTGAGATGGAGTTTCATTCTTGTTGCCCAGGCTGAAGTGCAATGGCGTGATCTCGGTTCACCACAACCCCTGCCTCCCGGGTTTAAACAATTCTGCTTCAGCCTCCTGAGTAGCTGGGATTACAGGCGTGTGCCACCATGCCTGGCTAATTTGGTATTTTTAATAGAGATAAGGTTTCTCCATGTTGGTCAGGCTGGTCTCGAACTCCTGACCTCAGGTGATCTGCCCACCTCGGCCTCCCAAAGTGCTGGGATTACAGGTGTGAGCCACTGCGTCCGGCACGCCCGGCCTAATTTTTATATTTTTAGTAGAGATGAGGTTTCGCCATGTTGGCCAGACTGGTCTTCAACTCTTGACCTCAGGTGATTGATCTACCCGCCTCGGCCTCCCAAAGCACTGGGATTACAAGCGTGAGCCACCGTGCCCGGCCTGAAAGTCAGTCCCTTTCTGTAAGCACAAATGAAAGGACACACTCACCCCATGTTTCTGGATGGCGACGTTGGTGAGATGAACGAACATGTTGTCCAGCTCACTGGTACTCGGGGTGTATTTCACTGTGCAAAACCGGCAAAACCCAAGCTTATACCTAGGTGGGAATGTAGATTAATTCAAACTCTGAGGAGAAACACAAAGAAAAGACACCACTTCATTCTCTAAACAGAGCTACTTTTGTGTGTGTGATTGACACGACTCATACCAGCATCAGGCCTGACTGCTCTTTCTTTTTTTTTTTTTTTAACACAGGAGGAAAAGAAAGACACCCACTTCATTCGCTTAAACAGAGGGCTACTTTTGTGCGTGTGTGATTGACATCGACTCATACCAGCATTCAGGCCTGGATCTGCTCTTTTCTTTTTTTTTTTTTTTTTGTTGAGACGGGTCGTCTGGTCGGCCCAGCGCTGGAGTGCAGTGGCCGGATCTCCGAGCTCACTGCAAGCTCCACCTCCGGGTTTCATCGCCATTCTCTGGCTCAGAGCTCCCGAGTAAGCTGGGACTACAGGGCGCCCCGCCCACCGATTCGTCCCGGTCTAGTTTTTTGTATTTTTTTAGTACGAGACGGGGTTTCCACCGTTGTTAGCCAGGCATGGGTCTCGCATCTCCTGATCCTCGTGATCCACCCCAGTCTCGCGCCTTCCCAAGTGCTGGGGATTACAGGCGTGAGCACGCGCGACCGGGGGCGCTGACTGCTCTTTCTTTCCTCAATCCCTGCGCTGCAGGGCCACCGCACATGGCATTGTTTCACCAAAGGCCTCACAATGGGTGCTAAGGGAAGCGAAAAGACGTTGTGGGGGGGGTGAAAACACAATCAAGGAGGAATCAAAACCTTACGGACGCTTACATGTAACAGCTTTAGGGCGGACGGTACGTGGACACCAGAACGCTACGCAAGCGCAGGTCGGAACTTCCTCCCGGCAAATTAGTAACGGGTTGTTGAGTATAGGAGGAGGAAATGCACGTAGGGCTTCTTTATTAGATTTGAGACACAAAAACCTAATATGGGCAGAAAGGGTTGAAAATTAGATGGCTAAAAGGGATGGCAATACCGAAGACACAATGTCCGTATGGAAGGAATAACTGATAAGTCAGGACTTCATCTAAAATTAAAAAATTTAGAGTTTCGGCGGGGGCGGTGGCTCACGTCTGCTAATACTAGCACTTTGGAGCCTGAGGGCACGGGCATCACTTCAGTCAGGAGTTCAAGGATGAGGGGCCCGGCGTCAGCGATTGGCTTGAAACCTGTCACTAACTAAAAAGGAAAAAAAATTAGCTGTTGATGGTGGTGTGCTGCCTGCTAATTCCAGATACTCAGGGAGGCCTAAGGGCGATTACAACACTTGTAACCGGGCTGCGGCGCTGGGGCTCACGGCCTGTGAATCCCAGCCACGTTTGGGGGAGGCCGGAGGCGGGCAGATCATGACGGTCAGGAGATCGAGGACCATCCTGGCTAACACGCGGCTGAAACCCATCTCCACTAAAACACACAAAAATTAGCCAGAGCATTGGTGGTGGGCGCCGTGCTAGCTGCCGCTACTCGGGAGCTGAGGGCAGGACCTAATGGCGGTGACAACCCAGGGAGCGGGAGCTTCGCAGGGAGTTGAGATGCGCCACTGTACTCCAGGGCGCTGGGCGACAGAGCGAGATTCCATCTCAAAAAATAAAGAAACTAAATAAATAAATAGATCACTTGAACCCGGGAGGCAGAGCTTGCAGTGAGCTGAGATCCGGCCCACTGCACTCCAGCCTGGGCAACAGAACGAGACTCTGTCTGC